CAAATTTTGAAATTTTGAGACAAAAAAAAAAAAAAAGGTGTCCGCTTACCCCCCCCCCCCCCCCCCCCCCCCCCCACTGAGCGACTTTTCTGCTGGCTGAGTCGTTGCGATTTTTTTTGGCCTCCAAAAAAAAAAAAAAAAAAGTGTCCGCTTACCCCCCCCCCACTGAGCGACTTTTCGGCCGGCGCGATTTTCAAATTTTCGGGAGCAAAATATTTTAAAACCCCCCCCCCCTTGAAAAAATCCTGCGTACGCCCCTGATACAGAACAAAATAATTTTGGTGATTGGTATACTTTGAAGATGAAGGTGAGGAAATATCAAGTATGACTCTACATATTATCATTAAATCAATGCCTCATATGTTTCAATTTCTGAGAATACATAGCTTGCCTCTTATGAGACATTTTTCAGTCTTTTAGGCTCTGAGAAACGTACTCTAAAATCTGAATTCCAACCCTTTCTAATTCTATCGGTACGATCGATAGATGCACAAACCTCAAAAGTGAAATTTATGCAATCCACACAATGTCATTAGAATCACTATTGTTAGAAGTATGAAGGTCGATCACCCCATTTTCTCACAGACAATAAAACAAAATACCCACACAAAGGATCGAGCAATGAGTAATTCAGTTATGGGAAACCAAATAAAATATGAAAAATATATCACAGTTCCTTCTCCCTCAGAAATTCTCCTCAATTATCTGAGGGGGATAAAATGCTCATTGTGAACAAAAAGTTAATTTACCAATAACATTTCATTTGACTGTGTACATACTACTGTATACATGCTTTATTTACCATGTTAAGTATGTTTCATTTTTTAGCGCATGTTCATGTTAGTATTGTAATAATATGGGATTTTCTTCTGCTGTGTTGTACACATTTTACCTGGCTGTTTTAATGAGTTACGTGGGAATAAATTAATTTAAGGCAATGAATCAAGTCACATTATTCCATATTATTATCAATTTTCGACAACATGATCTATGACAGATGTGTGCAGGTAGAGAGTGCAGCAGCCCTTCAAATATCAGCTCAACATCTGTTCTATCTCATTTATCATGTGCTTTCAAGCGCAACCGATTTACAACTTTAGTTACAGTCAAGTTTTGCCTCTTAAATTCTTATGGCAGAAATTCAAGTTTTAATTTACTCTTGTTTTCAGGAGATAAAATAAAACTACATATTTAATAAACATCACATTTACATATCAATTTGTACACTTATAAGTGGGTAATCTATTCGGCTTGTGCTTCTAGTTAAAGTTGATATTCATTGATTTTAAAAACTAACTTTATTTTCATCATTGCAAAGTTGAAACTTTGATTCGACAAGGTTATCAAAATTCAATGCTTGGAAACATTCGAAGTAATGATAATTATAAATTACAAAACGCTTAAATACAGCCCCGGCATAGCACCTGAAGAGCACTCCGAAAGCTGCTGAGATGTGTGAGATCACAGTATGGACATGATTTGCACAAGCAGACGATGTCCCATGACATCTCACACATTTTCAGTGCCTGTATTTTCATCTTCTCTTGAGTTCTTTCTCTTACTTCACTACCGTCAGGCTAAATGTATAATCTATTGCCTCACTCTAAACCCCGCGCATGGTTTTATTTTGATGACAAATGCAGCGATACAAAAATGAAGGAATCTGTCGCTTTTAAACAAAATAGGACGCCATTGTATATTCAGCTGCACACACCCCGGTATGTTCGGCGTTTCAAGAGGGAACAAATGCCGTCCTTAATATCATCCCGGGGGTTTTCAATTTGAAAGTCTGGTTTCTTTGATTGTTAATTAACCCCTATCCTGTGTATTTACAAGCAAAATATTTTAGTTATCAGTATCGGGTCATATCCCCTTTTGAATGGTTTGACATGCCATTACATTTATATACACTAAACTCATTATAATTTGACAAATAATAGCTTTGCAATTATGTTCATTCTTTATGGGATGTCGTCTGCTTGGGCAGTATTGGTCCATATAGTGACGTCATTAAAACATCGTTATTTTTCCGGCGAATCTCTCGTATATCCCAGCTGGTAAAGAGGTGGTTGTATTTGTATTTGTATAAATCACCCGATATGTAGTTGACCTAAAACTTGTACGATGGCCATCTGTTAGCTTACCAGTTTCTAGTGATACATTAATTGACATATTTGTGATTTTCTTTGAATTACACCTTTAAATGTCCATTTACCTTAAAATCATTCTTATAATTTATAAACTGCATTAAATCTACAATTTTTTTTAAATAATTTCTTTTTTCCCACTTGTGTGATGGAACACCCTTAACAGCACAAGTGCTGTTTTTCATAGGGGTCCACAAAAGAAATTTATCAATTCTCATTTTTTCTATTTTTTTTCAAGTTAGTTAGTCAATAGCAATTATATTTTCATAATGGTTTCCAACTTTAATTATAGCCATTTTTCTATAACAATCAAATTTCCTAGCAAAACTATAGAAAAACGTCATTGAAGAAATAAAAGCTTTATCCTTTTATAGTTCCAATTAAAATAGATTCATATTCCTTCTCATGTTTCAAATGTAATTCCTTTTATGATGATATGGTTGCAATATCATTATACCTAATTGGAGGTTACAATCTCCATTTAAAGAAATGTATTGATATTCATACACATGTACCTAACGACTAGCTATTATGTTTACCTGCTGTCTCACTAGTCTGAATGCAAATTGTATATTAGTTGGTGCCATGTAGAACAAACATTATGGATTTCTCTACATATCAATAAGTAATGCATGCAATTTGCATTATGTCTATTGAAATACAATTATTTGTAAGCAGTTGAATGTAAACAAATGTTTTAATGATGCATTTTACAAAAATATATCCATTAAAATTGTATTATGAAAAGGTCCCATTCTAGCTATGTGATAGCCTGAAAATGTCAAAAGGGAAAACATCAATATCAATGTAATTTATGCTCCAAGCAATCTGTAGCGTTCAGCTCATATCTATGCTAATGTAGGGATTTTGAACTTTTGAAACTCCCCATCATATCCTTGATTCATCCCTTTCATATTAATAGGTCATCCCTCATTCACACTCACCCTTTTCATCCACCATCCTTTATCTGTCTATCTCTCTCTCTCTCATTGGTTTCAATGTTCACCTGATGCAGTCAAGCTTATAGTAAATTTACATATACTATGAATATTCAATATATACCCTTTGTTTATGTTTGAATATTCAAGAATACTTTGTGATGCTGATTTATACTTGTGTGGGACTATATGAATATTTATTGGTTTCTTCTACTTTGCATGGAATGTATGTGGAATGCTACATAGAATTCCTGTAATGTTTTGCTACATTAAAACCTGGGCAGTTAGCCAGTAGTTATCAATCGTACAACATTTCTGCTGGGCTGCCTCTGTGTACTTAAGAGTCCTAGGAATTTGTTAGAACCGCAACCCTACACTAATGTTTCACCATAATTAAATGCTTAAAACCCCTGAGCTTCCGGGGGCTCTGCCCCCTCAACCCCACCAGGGGGCCTAAGGTGGCCCCTGAATGCTCAATGACCGTTAAAAAATGCCTCAAATCCCTGAGTTTCAGGGGGCTCAGCTCCCTAGACCCCACACCAATTAGTGACCAGCCAGTGTCATGAATAAGGTATCAAAATATGCTCATCTGATCGTAATTAAATGCCCATACCCCCTGAGCTTCCGGGGACTCGATCTTGACCCCTGCCGGGGCTTTGCCCCTAGACCCAACGCCAATTTACACTACACTCTACCTGATCGTAAATACTTTAGCCTCCCCCCACCCACTTTGAAAAACGTTCAGCGGGGCCTGCATGTTGTAGTTGTTGTTGGTAATAGTTTAATGACGTTCATTCAGTATACACCATATCTTTAATTTTATAAGAAAATCAATTATACATAAGAAAACTGAGGATAAAGATTTGTAATGATATAATTAATTCATCAGTAACGCAATTTATTAGGAGTCTCTGAACGGTTTGCAACTTTGTGTTTCTGCTTTTTTAAAGTTTAATCTGGTGCAGCCCGGTTTCGATTGCATGGAAACTAGCTTTGCTCGATTTGAAACAGGCTCCTAGGCTACTCTGCGTGCGTGTACAGTGATCTTTTAAATTTGTAACGCACTGTGCCTAGACCACTCAGAAACACAGAAACACTAAATTGAGAGACATCGTACAGGGGCCTGCATGTGGGGTGATGCAGATTTTTTTTGTCTGCCAGCCCCCCCCCCCCCCCCCCCCAAAAAAAAAAAAAACTTTTTTGTTCATTATGCCACTGTTATTAGTAATTAAGAATATTATTAATATTTGATTTCTATGACTTTCTTATAATTTGTCAGACTTTAAGTGATTTTTTTCTTCTCCTTTTTCTACTTTTCATAAAACCTCCTGAATATCTGTGTGAACTTTCCTTATAAAGGTAGGCTTATTATTGACAGAATTTCATGAGGGACTTACAAAATATGTGTTTTGTCATAGCATAGGATAATGACCGAGTTGTAGATGGGCGATTATCTATATCAGGACAAAACAAATTAAACGATACCCGATATGCTCCATCGGATATTAATAGGCCTATCAAAACTTACATTTAATAGGTCTATTAAACCTTACAAATAATATTGATACAAAACAGATAAACAACTGGATAGACCTACTCAAAATTGTAAGAGGACTTTTTTTTGTGCCATGTTGATTTACAGAGTAAAAATGCCAGATTAACATTTATTTTTTTAACTATTTAATATGTTCACTATATTCCATTTGCTGTGCACCCATGATTGGATGTATTACATTTTGGGACGTCAAACTCATGAGCTCCTGAACTGGCAATTACTGGCACTATCAAAATTCCAAGATGTGATTAACATAATTCTGCAACTTGTTTTGGTTGAGCTCACACTTGTATTTTCAAATAACCTTGTACATGTATAGAGTAAGCTTACATTTACAACAACAACAAAGGAAATTCTTACATTTCTTACCTCTGACTTGGCAACAATATGCGTTTTCTCAGTGGGGCCATTTTGAGGAGAATCCATAATTTCTGTTATACGATTGAACGAATCTAAATAGATGATATCCACAGCTCAGCTCAGCTCCGGTTTATAAAAAAAAACGTTGTACAGCTAGCAGACGATATTTACTCACAGCAGGCGCAGGTGAAGAGATGGAGCGCGCGCGCCGAATCCAGCCTCTTCGGCACGCCCTTCGTTACGGCTAGATTCTATGCAGATGGTCAGAACACATACAATCCAGTGATGCCGATTATTTGCGTTTAGGTATCCTGATGAAATTTTTCAGGTTTGTTTCCAGCTAGTGAGAGCATAAAGTGGAGATTGGAATAGTGCTCTAAATCATCCAATCCGAAGGTCTCGCTGCCAAAGATACAAGTACCAGATCCACAATACCCCTCTATTTATGACAATCCAATATGGATGCATTAATCGCTCAAGGGTTGAGGGTTGCGATCTTGAGCGATGATGCGTTTGGTGGTTGGTAATCGGTGCGTTCATGCGTGCATAATAATCATACATTTCATCTGGAGTTGGCGCTATTGATAACGCCCTTTTTTGTCACAGCGGAGTGGCTATTTCGCTATAACCAGGGAGGTGAGACTTTAAACTCACATGCCCTGCTATAACCTAGTATACAATAGTCGCATCGGGCTCCTATCAACTATATTTGGCACATAATAAATGCAACGTAATTCATTCCGTATTAAATTAAATCTTCTATGAATGGCACTGTCATGGTTTCCAGCGGTGTCTCTTCAGACGCGTACGCAGAGGGGGTGGGGGTTAACCCCCCCCCCCTTCAGTTTTTTGTATGTGTGTATTTTGGAGCAAACCCTCCCCCCCTTTATGTTTTGTTTTGTTTTGTTTTTTAATTAAAAATAGAAAAATAAAACAAAACAAAATTATGCCAATCGCTGACCTAAAAAAGGTGACCTTACCCCCCCCCCCCCCCCCAACGGAGCAAAATGTATAATTTGCAAATTTTTCGAGACTAAGAAAGAAAGAAAAAAGTGTCCTCTTATTTCATTTGCATTTTTAGTATTTTTACACATTTCCAATAAATTCATTATTCTTTACTTCATCATCTACATCGACGCATATTTGTATGATATCGTCTTCTCTTTCTATATTGTTTTCAGTTTGTACGCACTCTCATCAGGTACCAGTTTGTGCTTTTAAAGCTAGTTTCTGTCACGCCATTTGAATTATTTGATCTAGGCTACTCTTCATAACTGTTTCAGATTAAGACCACTTTTGAAGAAATTCGATGAATGACGAAGCTTCTATGACTAGAAATAAATATCCTGTGCCATTTTTTGCTTGCATGTATTATTACTTTCCCATGTATAGTTCATGTTCCTATGATACCAGCCATAAGAGATGTCTTTTCATGGACCCACAGTGACTGACCATTACTACTGAATTAGCAAAAATACTGTATCCTTGCAATTACACAAACTGATAAACAAACTTTGAAAATGTATGAACAATGTTTTTTACAAGTGCGTACTTCAAGTCACGAGATGTGCATAAATGTATATTAATATCATTAAATTGTATCGAACCCTGTCCGATCTTTCTTGCGAGCGCTTTATTTAGAGGAAAAATTATTATATTCTAGATGAGAATCATTCATACAGAAAATTATGAGCTCTATAATATTATGATAGTTAATGATAACCATGAAAAATTTGTTTTGGGTCTCTCTCAACTCGCTGTATGAAAATAGATGGACAACCCTGTTTGTGTTGATGTTGTTGTTCTTTTTTGGGCGTTTGGTCCAACTTGACTGTTAACGCCTTGGCTGTTTTTTTTTAGTTTAATCAGTCAAGGTAGTCGATTCGTAATAGTCCTGTGCGACTGTGCTTCGCTGGTCCACTGCTTGCGATGCACTACCCCATCTGCGGCAAGATCATGTACATGTATAATCATAATTTCGCGCCACCTTAGGTTTTTGCAAACGAGTCACGCTGATTGGGCAAAAGTTGAAGTTCCATAGTGACGTCATTCATTTATCGTAGAAAACTTCCCTGCGCGTGGCAAACTAAATTGAAAAATTGAATCTACAGAAGAAAAAATATATATAAAAATACATCAAATATTTCAAATAAATCATAACATAGCAGAAGAGTATATAATAGTCAATTAGATGCAATAATGGTAACACAATAATTCAAATTGGTTTTGCTAGTAATGGCTCGTTATCCCAAAGATTTTTATATCGAATCGTCAGATAACGTAAAGGGCACCCGTCAAAAACTACCCCATCTGCGGTAAGAACATGTACATGTATAATCATAATTTCGCGCCACCTTAGGTTTTTGCAAACGAGTCACGCTGATTGGGCAAAAGTTGTAGTTCCATAGTGACGTCATTCATTTATCGTAGAAAACTTCCCTGCGCGTGGCAAACTAAATTGAAAAATTGAATCTACAGAAGAAAAAATATATATAAAAATACATCAAATATTTCAAATAAATCATAACATAGCAGAAGAGTATATAATAGTCAATTAGATGCAATAATGGTAACACAATAATTTAAATTGGTTTTGCTAGTAATAGTTCGTTATCCCAAAGATTTTTATATCGAATCGTCAGATAACGTAAAGTGCACCCGTCAAAAAAATGGATACTTATGAGAGGCGAAAAGGGACTTTTTTGATACCTCAAAGGGGGCACTCATCAGAGGTAAAAGGGACACTTCATAGAAGGGAAATGTACTCATTCCAAGGGGAAAAGGGTACTTGTACAAGTAAAAGGGGCAACTATCTTAACTAGCTTCTATTCTGATAGAGTTGTAATAGGGACATTCATTTTATTAAAAAAGGGATGGGGCATTTATTACACAGGATAGAGGGGCAATTATCATACTGATAAGGGTACTACATAGACAGTAAACGGGGCACGTGTTAAAGAAAATGGGAGCACTTCTCGCACATGGAAAGGGGCACTTTTTAAGGAGAAGAAAAGTGGCACTTGTCAAAGAAAAAGGGCCACCTATCAGATTAGAACAGAGGCACTTATCAGAGGTGAATAGGAGCAATTATTAGAAAGAAAAGGGGACACTAATTTGAAGTAAAAAGGGCCTTTTGGGGGATACTATATATAATTTTTTTTTTTTTTTTTTTTTTGGGGGGGGGGGGGGCACCTCCCTAATCCTAATCCTAACCCTAACTCCTAAATGGAAACCGACCTGCAACCGTAATCCTAATAGAGACCGGAGCAATTGTCGCCGGAGCAGAAGTCGGATAACTGATAAGTACGGTGTGCAAAAGGAACATCAATAGAAATTCCTTCCTGTTTGAAGTCGCCCTCTCGGGACTGCCATGGGAGCATTTTCTTCACTACATACCATGGTAATATTCTCACGCTCACACACTGCGTTTCAAATCACAACATCGTAAATCATTGGAACAACTTACAAGTAAACACTGTTAAAAATGATTGTATCAGGCTATTGTTTTTCGTGAGAAATTGGAACAAAATTTCTATATTAACGATTAACTGTTAGCAGCCAACTTAAAACAGGTGTTCAATAATACAAAAAATGAAATAAAGCTCATCAATTTCTTTGATTGTTTAACTTTTCAATAAACTTTCTTTTTTGTCTATTTTGTTATTTTCTCTTTTTTTTCTCTCCTTTATTTTCTTCTCCTCTTGCTTTTTCTATTTCTTGTTCTTTTGTTTTCTTTTTTTTTTAAATACTCAAATACTGTGATGTTTAGGAAGCAATATTAATATAGCTCTTACGCAGGTGGTAAATTAATATTTCATTTCATTTCATTTATTTATTTCACTCTCTTTTAAAAAACATCAAAAGTATATACATGTTTGTTCATTATCAACATAAGATAAATAGAAGTGAGGAATCATGAAAGCCAAAATTGGCTTGATGAGAATGTTCCCCAAATAAATACTTAGCATAAGCAAGATACAAACTTATTGTATATACAAAAAAACATCGTACATACATAGTAAGAGTTAAGCGCATATCACTTTATGATATGGTTTACGTCTCTATGATGAGCTTCCAAAGGACTTTGGATATCATTACCCCTGCTCTAGCTCCAGCAACCCAGGGCATTCCAGGTATGAATCGTACCAGGCAGGCGCGGATCCACGATTTCTTAGGGGGAGGCCCAAATTTGAAATCAATTTGAAATGTAGTGTGATGAAATTTGCAAATCGTGCCGGCCTATATTTTGTTCAGTGTGTTTGTGTGTGTGGGGAGGGGGGGGGGGGGTTTGGAGGCAGTGAGCACTATTTTGTTTCCTATTTTGACCCCGAAATTTTGAAAACCGCGCCGGCCGATAGTGAGCGCTTAAAACACACCCCCCCCCCCCTTTAGCAAAAAAGAAAAGGTTAGTTCCTGGTCACAATTTTATTTTCCTTTTTTGGGGGGCCCGTCTTTTTTTTTGGGGGGGGGGGGCAGGGGAGCAAGGCCCGCCCGGCCCCCTTGGATATGCCCCTGCTCGTTTTCATCTAACCTAAAAACCACCAATTTATCACGCGACTGGAGTAACGTGATTCCACTTATCTCGGTAAATCAAGTGTTTATGACCAAATAACCACTTGACCAAGCAACGAGTTTTTTTATCCGTTAACCGATGGTGGTGACAAAGTTTCGGGAAATTTTGAAATTGGGTGGATAATGATTCTTTACAATTTTAATATAATTGGATACCCCTGTGGATGTATTATAAGCACTAGAAAATTTAGCCCCTAAAACACTTCTGATTTCGAGAAAAATTGAATATAAAAATTTACCGGTGCTCCCGCTAAATTTTGATAAATTTCAAATAGCGCCTACGGCCGAAAAATGGTAGCTGCGACCATGAAAATCTCAAAATATGTAGTTCTGATATATAATTCCCCAACAGAAATAGCTAATCGGTCGATTTTAGTCAAAAAAACATTGTTTTATAGCTTAATTAATATATTGACCTTGAGAGGGAGCTATACAACATAAAGAGTTTATTATTTACAATTTCATAACTTTAGACTCGATTTCAACCGCGACAACGATCGATCATTATTATAGGATCGCATATGCTTCCAATAATTATGTTCATTTGAACCAATTTCATGACCCCATACCAAAACTTTGTAATACCTTTAAGCACCTTTATCCATTGCTTTCACAGGTTATCCAAGGTTGATGGTAATAATCACGATACTAACACCGGCTAATCGTCTTATTGTTCTGTCCGTGAATCTCTGGTTGTATTAAATTAGTAATTTTGAGGTGTCTTACACACCTCTTTTGAATGGTTTCAAAGTTACCATAACTTTCTTGGTGATGATCACGTGGCTCAAGCTAATTACTAATCTAAGCTGTGAATCCGTGATATTTAGGTGTGAAAAATTAGTTGTTATTAGGTGTCTTAAAACACCTTTTTAAATGGTAGTCAAGGTTGCCATAAGTTCCGCGGTAATGATCTCGTGACTCAAACGGATTATCAATCTAA